CATCATACACCCCTTATATCCACTCTAAAACTATCCAAATCGCTGATGGTACATCCAAGCCTATTCATGGTATAGGGTCGGTAGAGTGCACATCATCAATGAACTTGTCTTCTGTTCTGCATGTTCCTTCCTTTCCAGTTAACCTTCTCTCAGTTAGCTCGGCTATTGATCAACTCAAGTGCATTGTTGTATTTGATGAGAAGTCTTGTCTGTTCCAGGAGAAGGACTAGGAGGAGGATTGGGACTGGAGTCAGGCGTGATGGGTTGTGGTACATCAATCATGAGGAACTGGGACTGCCTGCGTTGGTTGGAGATGTTGAGAAGGAGATCAGTTTGCTTCACTGTCAGTTAGGACATCCATCTTTTGAGATTTTGAGTAAGTTGTATCCAGACCTCTTTAGTAGAGTGGATAAGCATAGATTGGTGTGTGATGCTTGTGAGCTTGGCAAACATACTCGCTCTACATATGTTGGAATTGGTCTTCGTAACTGTGAGCCCTTCATATTAATACATTCTGATGTTTGGGGACCATGCCCAGTTACTTCTGTGAGTGGTTTCAAGTGGTTTGTCACCTTTATTGATTGTCACACTCGTATGACTTGGATTTATATGCTTAAACACAAAAGTGAGGTCCTTCGTTGCTTCCAAGACTTTCATAAATTAGTGACAACTCAGTTTGATGCAAAAGTTAAGATTATTCGGACTGATAATGGAACAGAATATATCAATAATGAATTTGTGTCATATGTCTCAGATGAGGGGATTATTCACCAGACTACTTGTCCTGGCACCCCTCCTCAAAATGGTGTAGCTGAGAGAAAGAATCGGCATTTGCTAGAAGTGGCAAGATCTCTGATGTTCCAGATGAATGTACCAAAGTATCTATGGAGTGAGGCTGTGATGACAGCAGCATATCTTATCAATCGCATGCCTTCCAGAATACTTGGTATGAAGTCTCCTGCCGAACTGTTATTGGGTAAGCGAGAGTTCAAGGTTCCTCCAAAGGTGTTTGGCTGTGTTTGTTTTGTGCGAGATCACCGACCTTCTGTTGGCAAGTTAGATCCTCATGCAGTAAAGTGTGTGTTTGTTGGCTATGCTTCGAGTCAGAAGGGGTATAAATGTTGGGATCCCATTGAGAGAAGACTGTTTGTGAGTATGGATGTGACATTTCGTGAGTTTGAGCCCTATTATAAAAGTAAAGGAGATCTTGACCAATTTCTTGAGGAATTCTCGACTGTCATGGAGGTTGATAGTCGAGAGGGGGAGAGAGAGAGAGAGGTGACATACATGAAAAAAATGTTGGTGACAAGAATGGAGAGGCAATAGTGATTGGATCAATACCATGTTCTATTGATGATGCGAGTAAAGAAGTAGTGGAAGTCATTGAAGATACACAAGATGAGGATAGAGAAATGGTCCCTCATGAAGAGGATGGAGAAGAAGGAGAAGTAGTTGTTGGGACAATTCCATGTCCTATGGAGGGAGCCGAAAGGGTGAAACAAAAGGATGTGCTAGTTTACCAAAGGAGGCGGTTTGATAGTCAGGGGGAGAAAAGAAAAGGGTTAGTGCAAAGTCAAATTGAAGAGTTACCACACCCAAAATGTCCAGTCCCTGAATCCTCCCAGAGTCTCTCTCCTCCAGCCTCCTTGGCTTCTCTTGAGACAATTGGTAATACTTCTCCAACTCTTGAACATGTAGAATTACCTCTTGCACAACGTAGAGAGACTAGATCCAATGCTGGTAGACCTCCTATACGTCTTGGTTTTGAGCATCTTAGTTCTATGCATGACATTGCAAACTATATCACATATTCTCATGTTTCACCAGCATACAAAACATTTATTGCATCATTACAGACAGTGCCTATACCAAAGGATTGGAAGTGTGCAAAGCAGGATCCAAAGTGGAAAGATGCAATGAAAGAAGAGTTGAATGACCTTGTGAAGAATAAGACTTGGGAACTTGTAAAACTTCCACCAGAAAAAAGGGCAGTGGGATGTAAGTGGGTCTTTACA